GTTAAAATGGCCAGGGCTTCGAACCAGGATTGATTCCCCGACAGCTATGAAACGGGAATGGAATCATCTACATCGTTTTTTTTTTCTTTCGAGATTCATTATTAATTTCAAACATCAAACATTAAATACAAAGCAAGATGTTATATTCCGAGTAATTTCTCTTCTAAAACTTATTATTATACCGTAACTACGTCACCATGCCTCGAGGAAAAGCGACCACAGGTTTGTCTTATAAATATAAATTCGCTTGAATCATGAACAATGTTACAATGTTGTCATACTTGTTTAAAATTTTTTTTATCTAATTCCATGATACTAGCTTCAAACGCAGGTCGGTTTATTTTGTTAATTACTTGAGGAATAAATGTACAAAATGTTTTGACACTGAAATCAAAATTATTGATTGTAATCGTGTTATGAAACCCTCCCTTTTAAAATTAAATTTATATAAATATATATTTTATAGCCATGATTTTTCTTGTCATTTATTTAATTATTTGATAGATTGAAAATATTTATGGCATATTCTTATGAATTAAAAAAGAAAACGATTTGATTGCTTCTTTATCATGTTGGCATGTGCGGTAGGCATCAAAAGCCTGAAAGTTAATTCGATGGTCAGTACGATCTCCAGACAAGGTACACAAGATATACACAACAGCAGCAAACTAAATGTCAATCAAATCAAAGTATCCAATCCAAGGCTTAAATTCAGATGATTGACAGGAGCTGTAAGACCAGGTAAATTTGGAGGAGGTGCTTATTTCCTCCCCCTTTAAAATGACAAAGACGCACCACATTTACACATTTGGATTTTTTTGGTCTCTGGGTCTTATCTCCATTTTTTAAAAATGTGTATTCGTTTCTTTGAATTAAAATACACACAAATAATGTTTAAAAATCATGGAGAGAAGACCCAGAGATAGAAATTTTTTAGGAAAACGTGTTTAAAAATGTACCATTTTGTACCAAATGTCTGATCTGGCCAATTTTCAAGTTATTTTATAGTAAATCAAAGCTCAATTTTGGGAAAATATTTTTCTTTCCTGTTGCACAGGAACCTGATAAATTAAAAAAATGTTAAAATTTCATGTGACATGTCGATAAAATTTTCACTTTTCAATTACACCCAGATTCCTGCCGAATGCCAATCAAAAGCGCCATCGTTCTTTTTGATTTAACATTGATAACGAATCTGCAATGTCAGATGATATCTACCTCTGTGAGAAATGATGATTTGGACATCAATGCACAGATATGCAACTGTATGAAAAGAAAACTGATACTATTTTTTGCCACACTATTTTCAAACTAACTACTCTGCACATATTCCAGCATGCTTTTTTTTTGTGCAATAGGAAGTCTATATACATGTATGAACCAATATTTCTTCTTGCACTAAGAGTTCAATATATCAAGTTACAAACTGGATTTTCTAGATTTTATTTAATATCAACTCTGGTGGAAAAATACAATCTCTTTCTCCAAAATAACAATATACATGAATGTAACAGTTTACATTGAAAACACAACACAGACATGCACACAAGGCAAGATCACAGAGTGGGAAATTTTCTACAGCCCCTTCTATCTAGCTGTATGTTTCTGAGATCATAGCACCAAAACAGCATCTACACATGTACACTATCTCTTTTGTCTCAATAATCAGCCTCTAGTTTGATCTAATGCTCTATGAAATGGAAATGACAAATGCACTTTAATCTTGCCAATTACAGATACAAATATGAGATACTTTATATATACCAAGAATGAATGAACTTATGTGTCTATACATTCTGAATAACGAAGTTAATTGATCTATGTTGTTCAGAGTTCACAAAATGTACAAACTGATTCACTACCATTTTCAAAAGCTTTATACTTCTAAGTTTGAAAATTCTAGTACATGTACCAGGTATTTGTAATGCCATGAAAATTTCATGGTTTTTAAAAAGTTTTGTTAACAGAAAAATAATTTACTCAGTGAATACATATGTATTCTAATGAACACCACAAATCACACATTATAAATAAATAACTCAGAATAAAAAGGAATGCTTAATTCCTGGACAATCCCAAATATATAGACACACAAATAAAATCTATAGAACACAAAATATACACTGTTCATTCTAAAAATAGAAAAAAATCCTTTGTATCAAAAATATCTTGTTGTATGTCTAGGTCAAAAAAAGAAAAATCAAAAGTTTATCATATCAGTGAAGACATGTATCCCCAACCCATTTGAGGATAGGTCAAAGGGTGAAGAGTTATAGGTAGTTTCACATAATCTGATTTGTCATTGAATACGGGGGAAACACTTGGGCGAGCCTTCAACGTGGACAAGTTTGATATGTATACTTAACACTCCTAAATAAAAATTGTTCCGACACAAAATTATCAATAGAAATAATTTTAAAAGTATATATATTGCAAAAATATCAAAATCCTTATTAATCCAAAAAACATTCTCTATTTAGACTAGATTAATGAATGTCTATTTTTTCCCCTTTAGAAAATGATAATTATTAAATTTTACTTTAATATGAATTTTAGATCAGCACCAAAAAAAAAAAAGTTATGCTACATTCCTATTTTTTGGTTCATTTTTAATAGAAAAAAAAAACATGGTGCAATCAAGGAATGTGAGGCAAAATTGCAGCGAAATCTTTACAAGTAACAGAACACATGGATACTCAATTATTGCAAAACCATGTCTACAACAAATCGAAAACTTTTCACCAAGTACTAATGGATTTATGAGCCTAATAAAGCAATGAATAGGGTGTGTTCCTATATTTTAATGTAATTTAATTACTAAAAACTTTTTAAATTTTGAGAGATTCAATTATTTGAAACAGTACCAGTCTTTAAAAAAAGATAAAAATTGTATTCCTTCATCTAGATGAACTAAATGCATTTCAGTTAACCTAATTTTGTCTTTGACTGTAACTTGAAAAAAGAAAAAAAACCTATTTCATTATATTTACATTTCCAATGTGTCCAAGATAAAATTACAAAGTAAAAATACTTTACTTCTACATACAGGTATATCCATTGGTTCATTGATAGGTGCTTTCGTATTTGACTACACTCCAAAGTACATGCCTAATAATTATAGATCTTTGCATATTAAAATCTGCATAGATGCAAAATAATGATAAAAAAATAATTTTCTGTTTAGCCTAAAACAATATTTAGTTCTATCTAGGGTAATCATCTCTTCAATATAAATTAAATATCACAACAGTTTATAAACTTTACATATTAAACTTGATTAACTTTCTCTCTACACATCACAATGATTTCTCCAAAGTTACTCATAGCAGGAAGAAAAAATACATCCATTTGGCAAGTGCTCTAATGAGCATAAAACATGCTAAGTTCCTGTGACTTTTTTCGTTGTACATCATTGAACCACCGAAAATGTTTCTACTGCCTGATTAGAATGAAAAGTGATAAAAAGATTGAAAAATAACTACATTTCTACTTTGTACAGAGATTGCAACATGCTTCTTTGCAATGACATGCATATATTTTCAAGACAGAAACAAGAAGGCAGTGAAGTTCATTACAAAAGTGAAAGGTAGAACTCCTTGATAAATATTACGTTCTAGAAAGAACATGTCATTTGTCCCTTATATGCAGCCATACAGACAAGAAAATATAAATAAAACCTATCAGATTCAATGCTCAATCTGAAAAAAGTTTAAGGGGGGACCTATGTCGTTCTACGTCAAAGCAGCGTTATGTGACGTCACAATAGCGACGTTTGTTTTCACCGGTAGACTTTTGCAACTGTGATATTGGCAGAACGTTGTTAAATAAAATAATCAATAATACACAATTCACAAAAAGAAAATTTATTCATCATTAATAACAGTTTTATTTTAATTATGGAGTTTGTTAATGTTAGAATTCTCTTCCTTTGGTTGAAAATTCATAGGAATTTCAGTTGAATGATATGCTGATATATAAGTGCAAACAGATTTAAGATAAAATTCAGCAAAGAAGGCGGCTTAAATTATAATATGTTTAATTTTATGTTTACCATTAATTGTATTTTCTGGATAAAACCAAGAAAACAATTATGAAATGTACTTTTACCTATATTTGCTTATTGATTTATACATGTAGTACATGTAGATTTTATTGTATAAAGTCATTCCTAGGTTCTAATAGGTGTTGGCTGTTGACGGGGAAATGGGGGGGGGGGGGAAGAAACAGAATGATTGGAATGAAGAAGGAAAGAATTAATCTGTTTAAATTGCTTCTACTCAAAACAAAATACTCGTTTTTCACAAAATAGTTTTTTATTCAGATGATTGTCAATGCTTACTTACCTTTTTTTTAGTGCAGAAAGGTCAATATTTATGACACAATGTCTATGATGCGTACAAAAATAAAAGAAAACGTCATATTTCTCGTTTATTTTATCATAAAGGTATACTTTTTTCTTTGTTAAAATAAAGAGATGAACCATTTCTTTCAAAAAATATGAATTACAACATTTTCACACAAAGAATTTTTAAGATATTACCTGTTATGCATGTCGGAATTGTAAAAAATACGACAAGAAAAACGGGGTGATACTTACATTGTGTTCCATTATAATTTTTCATGCGAGATAAATTACAATGAATTTGCCTTCATTTTAAAGGTACAAGTCATATAAATTAAATATCAGTTGATTTTGAATGTGATTTGACAATTTTGGTTCTTTTTAGCGCATATTTGGGGTAGAACAATAATGTCTGAAAATAATCTATTTTTAGCATTTCACACTGTTTTTGCACGTGCTCCTGTGTAAAAATAAGCATATAAAGGTATTGTTTTTAATACCTAAAAATTAAGAGCAAGTGGTCAGGAAAGAAATGTCAAAGTTTTGAAAATTTCACACAAAGACTTTTCGGACATAGGTCCCCCCTTAAAATGAAGATTTCCAAAACAATATTTATGATGTCTTTGGTCACATGGGTTGATTACTGTGGGATATTTACACAGTGCTACCGAACGAAACACTTGCGTATTCTGTATTGGTGATTTCCGCTCGCGGTTTGGGCTGAGGTTTGACCCTGGTCCCTGGGGGTTGTGTGGCTATGTCAAGGTCAGCATAGTGGAGTTCCCTTCGTGGCTCCTCCTGTGTTGCCGTGCCATTACCATGGTGATCACTATCTTCCCTCTGTGGAGACCAAAAGGCAAATATGAATCAGTGAAGCATGGCAGACAGCCCATACCCTACCACCACAATTTCATTCTCACCAAAAATTTCAATTTTAATTTACATTTTAGATGTTTACTAAAGAGGAGATTTATCTGTTATACAAATAAATGAGAGCGTTTTGATTAGAAGAAGCAAATTTTTGAATAGTAACATCTGCCATGCGCTTAGATTCATTCATTCCTTTTGGTCATGCCTCATATATCATGCAGTCAGAAATTAACTTTATGTAACTGATACACATTGACATTGCAAAACACTCATACAAGAATAATACTGAAATATAAATCCTGGTATAATAGACTATATTAAATAAATCATAAATTGTAAATATGCTTAACTTGCAAATAAAGCCTACTGGGTATTAGGTTTACTTGTAACAGAATGTTCATTATCAGAAGCATGTAATTATTGGATTTTACAACCAAGATATCAGCTAAAATGCTAAGGAAATTAAAAGTTTCCATGCTCTTTAACAGTTAATTAAAAAAAAAAAGGAGATTCCCCCCCCCTTTCCCGCACAGGTGACCCTTTGAATTTTTAAACTCTCTCTGAATAAATCCAATCAGTTGTTAAGCTCTCATCAAGCAAAGGTCACTATTACAAAGCTTTGATCATGTTTACTACTTTATGCTGTGGATATGATTTCCATATCAACAGATACAATTGTCACAATAATTTTTTTTGTAAAGTGATTGAGTTGATGTAAAAAGGACTTAAAGGAGTGTGAAACAAGTTACTGCTATGTGTAAAATGAATGATAAGAAATGGATATTGATTGGACATGATTTTATTCCTATCCTACCATTTGTTTTTAGGTTCTAGGGATCACACAACTCACTGGATATTAATAATATTCAACCACAAACCATGGTAGATCCTATGTATATATATATTAATTACAAAATCCCCCTCCATCCCTTAGATGTAAATCTGTGCAAACAAAATGTCAACAAAAAAAAAAGGAACTCTGGCTATTTCAAAACATTGCAAGCCTTTAAATACAATGTGCTTGGTATATTGTTGAAGACAATTTACATCCTGTTAAAACAGAAGTCTAGATACCATTACTATGATAATTACAACATTCTGTATACAGATTAATATTTCATACCTCGTCTAACAACTCCTAAACAGTTTAAAACAACAAGTACATATTATTGATCCTATATGATAAGGTTACATACACGAGTTTTATTTACAAACATTCCAGAAATACCACATTAATATTCAAAAGGTTTTAGAAGCAAATTTGCTATATCCAAATTTTTGACATGATTCCTGACAGAATTTATTCTCAATTAATGGTGCTATGAATCTCAGTCTATTTTTACCCCCAACTGAATCAATTTGGCCCTTTGAATAAAATATCATGACAAGGTCAAAGGTCAACTTACCTGTCTCTCAGGGGGATGGTCCTTGACTGGAACACTGTAAACTGGTCCCTCTGGGTTAGCTGGTCCATTGTATCTACAACACACAGAAAAAAAACTTAGTAAAAACTTGTTATTTATTATTGGTAAACTTCATGGATAAATAATTTACCTAAAATTACATCATAAACTCTGAAGCGAAGCGGTTTGTAAAAAAGCGTAAACTGTTCCAACCCAGTTTATACCGTATAAAATGGGTAGCTATTAAATTCATTGCTTATAATTTAATTTTCATTCATTTGATGTAAGAAATGAAGATGACTGTTCTAACAAATTGACTTCAATTTGTACAAAATTTAAATGTAACGTCAGGCGGATTGATACGTTTTTGACACAAGTCATTGTGACGTAGGCAACCCATTTTATATGATATAAAATAATTTTTTAATCCAATCAAATACAATGTTACAACCAGAATTAAATTACTGCCACATATTTTAAATTTTCAATAACGTTTATATCATTTTCTTTTCTTTTTTACTGTAATGCTTAATTCATTTGAGTTTGTTACAAAACATTTTTTGTTTTTAGAGAAGGTAAGTAAACCTACCCTGGTACATCTTCTTTTGTTCTGTCTGCAATGAAAAAGGGAATAAAAAATTTACCAATTCTTGTCCAAACACAAATAAATATTTTATGCACGTTTATTACTTAAATAATTCAATCTCAGTCTTTTTCGCTTTTAGTTAGAAGAAATATAGGTTATCTTTTTGAACATTGGAAGAAAATTTACAGACTGACTTTACTACCAGTCTTTATTTAGTAAAATTTAAAACTTTGATAATAAGCATAATTTTAAATTTAGTATATGCTGAAGATGCAAATACATTCCTGATAATAATCATTAGTTAATTAATTGTACAAAAATATGATAACAATTCTCTGTTTTCATGTTCAAAAAGAATAAAATTCTGTTGCTGTATACAGGGAAATTTTTACCCTGGTTTTATCATCGCACAGTCCCAGTTCTGATTAAGAAATTATTCATGTACTGTATTCTTCAAATTCCTCCCATAATGAATTTGCTCACATGTGATAAGGGGGATAGGGGCAGAATTGTGTGCAAGTGCAAAAGGAAAGAATAACATGGGGTGAAAATAACCCTGTATTCAGTATATTTGCATGTGAAACCTACAGAAAATCCTACTAGCGACATTGCATTTGTCAAGATGGATTATGGTTAGGTATACATATAAGTATTCATTCTGTGAAAAGCATGCATTTATGGCATTCTAGGATAACTTGAAAATTTTGAGAAAATGGGTAACTTCATCATTTCAAACCAAACAGTAAATCATTCTTTGTTGCAGACAATCACATTTTTTTTACACACAAACAGGCTTGCAAATATCTATATGAAACTTTTAATGAATTTCATAATCTGATTTTTAAATGAATAAAAAGAATAATTCAAGAATATATATAACATGTATATGCATAAATAAATAAATAATATATATAGTTACCGGTGGGGGGTGATGCTGACGAAATAATTACAGAATCATGAAGTGTGAAATTATTTTTCTACATATTATTCAAATGATACACTGACTTATTGCTGAAAATGAATTCCATAGGAGAACTACAGAGTGTCTCTTATTACTATTATTAAAGATCTTTAAGGCTAAAATAAAATTATAGTTTGTTTGGAATTGCCGCCCGCCTCATTGAAATACCCCCCCCCCTCAAAAAATTTTATTGGCAAAATATTGGAAATATTTTTTTTTTCCGTCTTATGTCCGACATCGCTTTTTATAATTCGTTCTTCGAAATAACTTTTTAAAGCCGGGTTTGAGCTCACATAAATTTAACAACACCGGTCAATAAAACGCTTTCTTCATAGTATTTATGATATAGGGAATATAGGTGGCAATTTGACAAAATGAAAACCGCCAAAATGTCAGACCAAGTTGGATCAGTGGATGTGAAAACATTCAAGCGTTGAAGACCAGAACATTTATGCATCTTCATAAAAATAAAAGGTGAATAAAAAATCTAATGGAATGATACACTGATACCTGGAAAGAGCTATTGTATTAATAGATTGCTCTTTGAACTTGATATGATAAGTCCGTCATGTTGAAATTAAAAATGATCGTCCAGTTCCCAGTTAAAAATTATGGGTCAGAAATGTTTATTCCCAAATACAAAAGGAAAAATGTTGTCTTTCAGTAGGACAAGTCTTTGAAACCTTATGTTAAAAATGATTCATGGCGAACACTCTAGAACATACCAAGCACCCCCTCCCGTTTTTCCACAAAACATCCCCAACTATTCTTGAGAAATTTTGTGTGGTTCGCACTCTTTGTAAGGGTTGTCTTAATGAAGGGCTAAATTTCAAAGAGAAATGCTATGAAATACACCAATGAAATTGTTTTAAAAAGATTTGTAAAGAAATTGTTTTAAAAAGATTTTTAAAATAAAGAAAAAAGTTTGACGCTGAAATTTGACTTTTAATAGATAAGCAAAGCTAACATCGAAGAAAGATTGATACTTGAGTACCATTCTGTATATATTTTAGACAAAAATGATATTAATCAAATAAAAGAAAGAGAGAAATTAACGAAAATCACCACTGTTCATTGTGATTTTTAATTTCTATGAATTAGCTTCAATTTGTAAAAAGAAAAATAAAATAAATTCCCTCCCTCCCTCCTGGGTCTGAAAACCCCCAGGCGGCAATTCCAAACAAACATTTTTTTAAGGATGGCCTAATACCGTTATGTTGACAGTTCAATAAAATTTCATATTTGTCTATACAATTATAATGAAATTGCTGTATATGATAAATTCTAATTTATCAGCACTGTTAAAAAAAATGAATGCAAAGATATTAAGATAAGTAATAAACCAAGTTTAACTTGTTTTATTAATAACATGAATATTTTAAAACTAAAATAAGGTCAGCTTTTTAACGAAAAAAAAATGACTTGTAGAGAATAATCATAATCATACTGATATAATTGAAAATTGCTTATAACCAAGTCTATTTAAACAATTTTTTCTTTGAATGATACACAGAAGTAGGAGAAGTGGGGGGGGGGGGATACTTTATAATTAGTTTTATTGGAAGGACATAACACCATAAGTGTGCCAATCATAGTAATCATGGATCAAAAAAAAAAATAGTGACAAGTTTTTAAATAATTAGAAAGTGAAAAGTGTTATAAACATTTGTCAATTTCAATGTCACCCTTTAAAGTTTTGAGAATATAAGTTTCAAGGTGATAAAATTAAATTATTATTTTCAAGAGATGAAACAAAGTAAACAATAATTTGCACATGTAAAATTTTTTCAAGACTCTATGAAACAGACATTTTCAACATGAGTTGTACACTTACAAGTTTCTCCATCCGTTTTTCTGCGGAGCACCAGGAAATAGACAAGGAGGATAACAAGAATAAGGAACGCTAGTCCTCCAATCACAGCCCCAGCTATGATCCCTGCATCACTAGTTTCTGAAATGACAGTCTCTCAATTCAAATTCTGGCTTGCTCAAAATGACTTTGGTTTATTACAATACAATATTGGGGTAATTTTAAATTGCATCAACATTGACTACATTTCAAATAGCAACTTGGGTTTTTATCTGTTTTTTTTATCTTATTGCTATATATTTTCTTCCTTTTTTACATTTTGATTTTCATTTAAAAATTAAAAAAAAATGTTACACATTAGCATTTAAATGTATTTTTAAATAGAAAAAAAAACTACTGTGCATACCTTCTTGAGTCCGGGAAACAGGTGTTCCTGAATTCCCCTCTGTAAAAGACAAAATCACCAACAAATGATAAGTATAATTCGGTGAAAAATGTTACACAACCTATTCTTTCAACATTTAAAGTTTGATGTTTTACAAAAACTTTAAGAGATGTAAATGATGATGTGCTGACATAATGAAATATGATTTTTTTAACAAAAAAAAACGTTAATAAAATTCTCAACATATTGGAAATGTAAGAAATCAAAGATCTATATATTGACAATGTCACATATCACTGATGTAGCATTTGTTCAACTGTGCAAAGTTATATTTTCAAAGAAAAAAAATCTGTAAGAAATGTTATGATGATGGTTTAGATTAGAAGATAGATTAAAGATTAGATAATTAGATGTGTCATCCACTGGGACTTGAAATATCTCTACAATACTAGATAATTACAATTAATATCACAATAACACCATGGAATCATTTGTTTGGCAAGTTTTGTTGGATAAAAATTGATAGGTTATGAGGGACATGATTTTGTGCATTGTAGAATGACAGTTTTAATAGAAATTGTAAATTTTAGTGTAAAGGAAATGGGCAACCTAGAAAAATGGATCAGTGTAAAATATGATTCCACAGTCCTTCAACAATGATAATAATAATAAGCCATAAGAGATAAATCAAGAAGAAATGACATATTAGTATCTCCATAACCTATCGGAGACCACATATATTAGCAATAGCTAAATGATACAAAGTTTCTTTAAATTGCTAAAATGCCACAATTGAGCAAGTTTCTTGTTAAGATGTAAATGCATGTTTTTTGAATCTTGGATGTTTACAGGAACCTTTGAATTTTTAATCACATTGACCCAGAAGTAGTAATGTACAATTGTAATAGTATCCAAACTGAGAGTTATACTAAAATCTCAAAGATCATACCAAAAAAATTTTCTAATTTCATTACCGGTACATCAATTTTTTCCCCCTAAGCTAATGCTTATACATTTCTAGTAACAAAGAAAAAATAGTAAGTATTTGCATTTCCCCTTTTTGTCTTTTGCATTTTATTATGCTTCAATCTTTAATATCTATTCTGATCAGATTTGTGGAAATCCTTGAAAACTAAAAATGTCTTTGATCAACAATCTATTTCAGTTTATAAAAACTCACTACAGTAAACTTCCTTCTGTGTATTTTATATTGTGCAAATATGACCTTAAAGTTATTAAATATGACAAACATATCTCAATTTCTGACTGATATGTATGCAACAATCACATTACATTAAAAGGCTGTGCATTTTCTTGAGTGTCCAAAACTATCATTTGAATTTTCATACTTCATTATTATGACCTTAAAATTTTATTTGTCGTTTTAACTTTGTATTGGATTACATGTATATTTTCATAAAATTTCCTTTTAAAATAGCTTTTTGAAATACAGTGGTATGCAACTTCTTCTTTTGTCAAACTAAAACTCCTGATAGATGGACAGATACACAGTGATCCTTAAAAATCCAGTTTTCATGCATTACATGCAAGGGTTAGTGTTCAACCAAAAGCAATTAAGTGTCATTACAAATTTAAGAAAATTAAGGTGAAAAATAATGGTATCTGTTCATGGAAACTTACCACCTGAAGTGTCTAAAAATGTGTGTGAAATCATATGATAGTGGATAATAAACTTAGCTAGAAGACAGACTGCAGGCCTGTATATATACTGTATTCCTAATATGCTTTGCAATCATTTTTTAAAGTTTTAAATGATTATCTCAATACCTCAATTCACTTATGAATACATTGCAAAATCGGTTATAACGAAGTCACAGGGACCTATGAAATCATTGCTATATCCGTTAATACGTTATATTAATATAAGGAAAATAAAAATAGTTGGGGATCCAAAATAAACTATATTGAATTCAAATTTTTTGCTAAAGATGAAGAATTTTTTTTTTTTTTGGAACAATGAACAATATGTAATTAGTTATGATGAAATGAATGAATTATTTATTATTTTGCAAACTATGTTACAAGCTAGCTGTTATGGAGAGCAGGCCTGCAGGAAATTATATCAAAGCAGGATAAAAAATGAAAGATTCAGAAAATAAATAAACACTCTACTTGCTATACATCATTCAATTAAATGCAATATACAGTAACACACTATGCAAGATGCCATTCTTTATATTTCACAAACTTATAAAAATATCATTTAAAAAAAATGATATAAATCGTAATCAGTAACTTACTGCTTACCCAATGTTATATTCAGATACTGTTTTGCTGTTCCCGTTTCACAGAGAGGAGAATAACCAGACTCACACAGGAACTGTGTGTAGGTGTCATCATTGGTGAGGTTATAGGTGATGGTACTGGAACGGGTGTATTGACAGTTAGAGGACATTGTGGCCTCTGAGTGGACTGGGGTCTGTGGTAACCCGGTGAAGCTAAAATCTTGAGACTTCTTTGAGCACCATCGAATTGTCTGAAAATTTTAATGAGAATTTTAATAAAAAAAACTAAGTAAAATGTAAACAGATTATAATATAACTAGGAGACTTATTGTTCACAGAACAATAAGAGGTCTTTCCACCTTTTTAATTTCAATTTCATTTATATTTATCTATTTAAAATTAAATTTCATAAAAAAGAAACAAGGAATGGCATAAAAGAAGAAAAAAAATGAACATGATTTTTTTTTTTTAGGTGACCTTGACCTTTGACCTTTAAGTCATATTCAAGGTCAAAGGTCAAGGGTCACATTGTAATTAACCCCATGTCTCTATGACTTATAGTTTTAAAGTTATAAGGTTTAATAGTAAGCACAAAAGCATTTAAGGGAAAATAAACACAGATCCTTTTGCACTTGAACATAAAAGTTTTGCCTAAAGTCCCATAAGACATTAGAGAAGGTTTCATGTCTTTGTGGTTTACAGTTTTGGAGCAATAGCAATAAAAATGTTATTCGCACAAGGGGCAATAACTTTTAATACAATAGGGACAAGAATGAAATCTTTGACACAGTTTTAAGAGTACATATTAATGATTCATAGACATTAAGCATATGTTGAAAGACAAAAGAGATATAAAAAGAGTTAAATTTCTCAGTTTTGGAATGACCTTGACCTTTGACCTTTACATGAATTTTAAGCTCAAAAGTCAATGAATCTTATGCAGTTGGTCTCATGTCTCTACACCGTCTTGTTTTAAAAATTTTTAATTATTTGTAAAATTGAAAAACTTTCAGGGGCAATAACTCATTGAAGGAGTCACCGAAGACTTTCGCAATGAATAGATTCCAGAATCCTCTCAATTAGTCGAAGACTTTAGTGAAGGTTTCATATTTGTACGGTTTATGGTTACGAAGTAGAAGCGATAACAAGGTTTTTCACACAATGGGCGATAAATTTTAATAGGGTCAATCTTACGGAATACGAATTGAATCTTTTAAATAGTTTTAAGAGAACATTTTAATGATGTTAAGACAGTTTGTATATGTTAAGAGACAAAAAAGATATAAAAAGAGCTTAATTTCTCAATTTTGAAATGACCTTGACCTTTGACCTTCACATGAATTTTAAGCTCAAAGGTCAATGAATCTTATGCAGTTGGTCCTATATCTCTATCACTTCTCGTTTTGAAAATTTTTAATAAGTTCGAAAATTAAAAACGTTTCAGGGGCAATAACTCATTGAAGGGGTCTACGAATACTTTTGCAATGAATAGATTCCAGAGTCTACTAAATTAGTCGAAGACTTTAGTGAAGGTTTCATATTTCTACGGTTTACGGTTTCAAAGGAGTAGCGATAACAAGCCTTTCTTGCGAAAGGGGCAATAACTTCGAAAGAATTCAGAGTTCATATACGCAGGGTTTTTTGCAAATATCTCTTACAAAGTACATTCTTATAAACTATAAATCTTTTCAAAAGACCTTGAAACAAAAATTCGTCCGGCGGAAAAATAATAAAAATAATAATAAACAGAAGAATATCAATAGGTCTTTCCACAGAAAGGTGGAAAGACCTAATTATTGATGTTAATTTAAAAACAGTCAACACATACAGCACTTGGTTCACCACCAATCTGTCCGTTACATGTCAGCTGTATAGCTGTCCCTACTGGAAACTGTCTTGATGGTGTGTTGGTAAATTCACCTAGTATCCTCACAGTTGGCATATCAATGGTTGTTGGATTGACTATATAACAAATTTCATCAATGGTAAGTAACTTGTATAACATTTTTTGATCTTTTTTAAAAATATACAATTACAATGCCGCAATGTGTAATCTGAGTGTACATACCTGTGTAAGTGACATACACCTGATTTGTGTCTTGATTAACTGAAGCAGTTGTATATGCAGACATTTGACACATGTATCCAGTGAAATCCAGAGGACATAGCACCCTGTCTTTAGGAATTGTTAACTTCAGCTGAGCTGTAGCAGGTGAGCTGACACTACCTGTTGCTGTTGCTCTGTTTTGTAAATTTGTGTCCTGCCATGATATAGTATCTTGACCGTTACTTGAACGCACAGTAGCCACATTCACCATTGAGCCAGTACTGTTTTTTTTCAGCTGTATGGTATACACTGTATCAATTTGTGTTGGGCTGATGGTGGAACAGGTTACAACAAGATCATTTTGTCCTAATATTACAGTTGATGGTTGGACTTGAATTTGCAAGTTCTCTGATGATGATAATGCTGAAAGTATAATTTGGAAGAAATACATGAACCTGAAAGATAGCAAAGTAAACAATAGAGGCCCACGGGTCACAACGCTCAAAACTGAGCAACTCTGGTCTTTCTTGTATTTCATGGGAAGATTCATTTTATCTTTTAATTATACATTCCGGTACTCATCAAAATATGTTATTTTTATAAATTGATCACTTAATTAAACCTCAGGGGTTCGTGTACCTATCAATTTTGCTGAAATTTTTGGTAAATAAAAAAGATACGTAATACCTATAATAATAACACAAGGAGTGCAACGGTTGTCCGCGAAGCCGTTGACGTCACGTGACGTCATGGGCGGCCCATTTACCCAAAAGGAACAAAAAAAAAAAACAATCATACACAATTAACTAGAGATAACGATATTACGTTTAGATACCAGTACAAGTACTTGTACCTCCCCGTTTTCAATTTTCTTGAATGTCCAATAACTTGTCTCTGGTTTCTTTTCGCATATGACTTCAATCATCTAGATTAGCATTTCAGGCAGTTTTGTTCCTTTTTGGGTAAATGGACGCGCCCGTGACGTCACATCATGGCTTCGCAGACAATGGATATTTGAGGGAAGTTGTGGAGAAATGTCACCGCTGCTGCTGTAAAACATGCGTTTGAAATCATATGCATTAAGAACCATAAAGAATGGTCCCTTCCAAAAAGATTGGTATGTGTTTTATAATTTTCGATTGAAAATTAATTGTGCGACAGCCTTGATATTAAGCGAGGGGTTCCCAGGTGACCTAAAATGCGTTGCTCTCCTTGTGTTATTATTATACGTATTACGTATTTTTTTATTTAATGAAAATTTCGGTATAATTGATAGGTATGTGAACTCCTGTGATTAAACATTTACTTCAAAATTTTCTTAAAAGCTATTTATGACAAATAGCAAAAATGTAAAGGTATAAAGTTTAATTAATAAAAATAACAACATCTAGTCTAAGAAGTCTTTGATGAAAATTGTCTTTTACAATAAAATTAACAAACATTAGCAGTAAAGAAATTGGGTGATCAAGGCATGCAGAATGCCTCTAGCTTCAGATATTAAGAATATAAATATTCCGAGATTACAAAGCTCATCTCAACAAATGTTGTCTATAATTTATAATAAGTAAGGCAAATTTCTCCCATTGTTCAGGGAGCTTGCCCTTGAACATCGCATAAGTTGGATATATGTTTCCTGTTCACACCATATACAGGTGATAGCAGATGGGTACATGACAAAAATCAAAATCCTGAAAGGCTTCAATGGCGTCGAACAAGAAAAACAATTTCAAAAGATCTGCAGATATGTCAAGTGAGTGACTCCGTTAACATAATAATAAAATTAAAAAAAAAAAAATAGTCTTGACACAAATACAGTATAGGGCCTTATAGCCTTAGAGCCAATCGCAAAACCCCTAAAGGATTACATTGTTTGTGACGAGCTGACGCTTTGCTTGTCGAGAACTTTAAATACTACGTCACATTCTCGCCACATCAAAGGACGTAACCGAGATCGCGTCTCTCCCACGCTAAAGTCGGTCAGCTGCAACATACAGCTTGTTTTCGGGGTTCAAAAAATGGAGATTTTCTTGAATGTTACCTGCAAAGTTTAAAGTTTTTTTTTTAACCTTGAATTAAACAAAAAGTTTTTTTAAACCTTGAATTTAAAAATGTAAAGATTTTTTTCAGTCCATTACGAATATTTCATTGGTTGATTATTTCATTCTATTATCGCAAAATTTACTTTTTTTTTCAATTTGCGAACAAGTATAAAAGTCGAGTAGTGCATGATTCATTGATCATTAGATTTATTAGTTACGCGTATCAACCCAAGTCATGCATGCTGAGATTGTTGCAATTTGGTACAAAATATACTGGTGAAAAATTGATACCCTCTTTATGCATATATTCACGAGAAAAGATAAAGAGGGAAGGCCTGGGAAGACGTGTCTATTTACCTTCAAATTTTAACGATTGAAGTTCAATTTATTTTTAAGTTTTAACGAATGTTGTATGTACAAGGTAATTAATACCAAACGACGGAAAATATCTAATTATCATGGGCGTCGGAAGCAAATTAAAGTGGGGGCTAAGGGTATATGAGAAATTTTTTTAGACCTCCCAAAAGAACATGAGAAGCAAAAAAAAAAAAAAAAAAAACCAGCACACAAACAAAAACAAGGGATGTGTATTTTCAAAACACAAAACTCCTATTTCGTGGGTATACCTACGCAGCAATGTTCAATGTCTATACTAAGTCTAACTTTGAATAAGCCCCATGTCAAAAAGCCTAAATCTAATTCCTAGAGATGGGCCTGGCAGATTTTGAAAAAAAAAATAGACTGTTCTCGAAAAGAATTAAAAATAAATGCACAATAATTTTCACGAATTGATATTTTTAGTATATACATGTACTAAAATAACATGAAACTGTTTACTTAAACACCCAATTTTATGTTAACGCCCCCAAAATCTACCTGATTCAAGATCAATAATTTACCGCCTGTCAATCATTAAAAAAACAATAGCTTCTGATTTGATTGACAGGCCAGCTACCCGTGCTACCTGATAGTCTGAGTTTGTGTCCTTTGAAAACGATCGCCTGGTCACGCGTCAAACACTTTCATGTAGCCGCCTTGTATACACGGGGTTTAAGAAAGAATCTTGGTAAAATTTTATTTTAAAAACAATTGAGAGTAGATAATTAAAGCACGACTTCATAAAATATTTGCTTTTAATCTCAACAGCTATATTGTATTTTAGGCGATATGTCGTCCAAGATACCTGCTGTAGAATTTAGACCAGTCCGTGCGCAGAAACGCTATTTGCCGATTAAAATTGGAATATAATAAATAAGAAAAGATATTCAGCACAAACGGCACGGATAAAAAATTCATTTATCCCATGTTTTATCTACGTATATATGAATACAATCTATACCATGTTCTGTTGTAAAGTTCTGAAATGTCAGAAAAAGAGCTCTAGGAGTTTCGATATTGTAACTTTTAGTTCGAATTTCCTAACATCTGTCAATACCCTATATTCGAAATTAAAAAGTGAATATATACAGCCGAAGATCAATTCTTAAAAGTATATAAGAAATCTTGCAAACAAAAAAAAAAAATTAAACACACGAACACCCGGAAATGGTGAATATTTTCACATTATTGTTGTTCAGAACGTACTGGGCAATATTCGCGGTACGGTACATTGTATATGTTCACACGACGGATTGGCCTACATGTACCTATGAATGGAGTATTTTATTAATTTTTTTTTTTTTTTATATTTACACACGTTTAATTAAAAAAAGATATGTTTACTTTGTAGTTCAACTCTGTGTTCTTTTCTTTAATTTGTCATTTTTTTTTAAATATAAAAACGACATTTCTTTATAATTTTTTTCTTCATTAGATATCGCTGAAAGTATTTAAAATTTATAAATAAATTTTATATTGAAATATTTCAATTATTTCAAGTAGTTTTACTCAAATTTAGACAGGAAACACGGCCTGTCGACCCTGATCACCTGACACAGACTTCCTGTGTAATGCTACGTGTATATAGATTTTTGACATCTTGGGTATTGGGGGTCTCCAGGTAAATAACACCACTGTTACTTAGACCACTCCCCCTCTTCAGGTAACCGTACGGTAAAAAAATTGGGTCTTTAAGCGGTTGTAAAGTATCTTAAAACGTAAAGCCTTTCAATGAACCTTTCGAACAATATGTTTGAAACGAAAAAAAAGTAGGGTGGGTCGAGGGCTGGCCCTTATGTTATGTGCCCGTCAGATCTAACGTATTTGAAGGGAAAAAACGAATCGGATTTCAACGAGAGCATACCCCCTCCCCCTTACACTTTTGTTGCCAATTTACTTGTCTGTGCTGTATGTAACACAACAAAGTTAATATCAATTAGTCTTTATTATCTCACCTGTGCTGAAAGCTCAAAGTGACCTTTTCTGATCACATTTTGCCCGATGTCCGTTTATCCGTTTTTAAACTTTTCACATTTTCGAGTTCTTCTTTAGAACCACTGGGCCAATTTTAAGCAAACTTGCAACAAAGCATTTTTTGGTAAACGGTATCCAAGTCTATTCAAATGAAGGGCGACTTGCTTCATACTTGGATATTTTACTTGAAAAAGACGCTAATGGTAATCTAACAACCAAGCTATATGATAAACGTGATGACTTTAACTTTTCTATCGTCACCTTCCCTTACTTATGCAGCAATATACCTTCATCACCTGCATACGGAGTATATATATCTCAGTTGATTCTGAGCATGCTCTACGTATGAACAATTTCTTAAACGAGGTAAATTATTGACAAGCAAGTTGATGAAACAAGAATATGAACAGTCTCGTTTAAAGTCATCGTTTCGTAAATTCTATGGTCGATACAATGACCTTGTCAGCAAATACAATTTATCATTGAATGAAATGCTGACTGACGTTTTTCATACCAATTGTTAGTCCATTATTTATACACTGAATTGACGACGGATTTTTTCCGTTATTTCCTGATTATGACAACGAGCACACGGCGGGTGTGACCGGTCAGCAGGGGATGCTCACTCCTCCATGGCACCTGATCCCACCTCTGATGTTTCGGAGGTCCGTGTTTGCTCTGCTCTTATTTTGTATATTGTTTAATGGACGTTGAGATTGAATACTGTTCGTTATTTCCATATCCTTCTTAGAGGAGATAATTCAGAAAATATGAAAATTTGCAATTGATGACATGTTTTAAACATAGGTAATCAGAGATTACAGAGCTCACCTCAACGAATGTTGTCTTTCAGTAAGGCAAAGTCACACAATTAACCAACAAAAAGTGTACATTCCAAAAATGAAATATTTAAGCAATTTTGATCTGATACTTTGAAATAGACCTACATAAAAAAATTTAAACTAGTTCTTCTTCATGAAAATGTAATTAAAATCCAGCATCTGAAGCAAATTTGAGAGTTTTCATCTCTTG